CTAACTACATAGTGAATTCTACAAGGTCACTAACTACATAGTGAATTGGTTACTTGAGAGACCCTGTGTCAAAAGAAAGACAAAGCAGATAGAAATGGGAAAAGGGAAGGAAGAAGGAAGGACAGCATTGACGTGTTGGAAAAGTGTGAGACCAAAGATAAGACAGGCACTAGAGCAAAATGCCAGCTCCTGAATACATAACCTTTTTTTTTTTTTAAATATTTATTTATTATGTATACAATAGTCTGTCTGTGTGTATACCCGCAGGCCAGAAGAGGGCACCAGACCCCATTATGTGATGGTTGTGAGCCACCATGTGGTTGCTGGGAATTGAACTCAGGACCTTTGGAAGAACAGGCAATGCTCTTAACCTCTGAGCCATCTCTCCAGCCCCTGAATACATAACCTTTAAAAGCAAAGATTACACAGGGGAAATAACACAGCAAATAAAATACAATAATTACATAATAAATGATGTAGGAGGGGCTTCTGTTATATGTTACTTTCATTGGTCAAATAAAGAGACTGCCTTGGCCTTTGATAGGACAGCAGCTTAGCTAGGCAGAGTAGACAGAACAGAATGCTGGGAACAAGAAGCAGAGTCAGGCAGATGCCATGAAGCTCCAGTCCGAGGTGGACGTAGGTTAGAATCTTCCTGGTAAACCACAACTCTGTGGTGATACACAGATTACTATATGTGGGTTAAAGCAAGATGTGAGAGTTAGCCAAGAAGAGGCTAGATATAATGGGCCAGACAGTGTTTAAATGAATACAGTTTCTGTGTAATTATTTCGGGTGTAAGCTAGCCGGGAGCCGGGCAGTGGGAAGTAGACTGCCACTCATTTTAGTACAGATAAAGAGTTAATAAAAACTTATTTCATAAAATAGGAATGTTACAGTCTTCATCACAGTGACAAAACTCATTAACATCCCAAATGCAAAGGAACCCTTAAACCCCAAGTCTTAAGAATGTTATCTGGAATGTAGTTTAGTGGTGGGGCAGCTGTCTACCTCAAAACCCTTGGCTCAACCTGCAGCATCACAGCAGTAAAAGTTCTCAAAGAAATACAAGCCGGGGGTATGCAAGGCCCCCAGGCAGCTTAGGCAGGGCCAACCTAAACTGTACAGTAAAATCCTATTTCAGAAAAATAAAGTTTTTTTGTTTTGTTAAATATCTGCTAAATAGCTGCAGAGATGGCTCAGAGGTTAAGAGCACTGCCTGCTCTTCCAGAGGTCCTGAGTTTAATTCCCATTTATAGTGAGATCTGGTGCCCCCTTCTGGTCTACAGACTTACAAGCATGCAGAACACTGTATACATAATAAATAAATCTTTAAAAAATATATATATCTACTAACAACTCAAAGCCATGACTTTAATATAGCCACTGGTAAATGATGGAGGAGGGTCATCTGTCAATGTGTTACTTTCATTGGTTGATAAAGAAACTGCCTCGGCTTTTGATAGGACAGCAGCTTAGATAGGTGGAGTAGACAGAACAGAATGCTGGGAGAAAGAAGCAGAGTCAGACTGAGGCAGAGAGACGCCATGCAGCCAGCCGCCAGGTCAGACATGCTAAATCTTTCCCAGTAAGCCACGACCTCGTGGTGACATATAGGTTATTAGAAATGGTTTGAATCAAAATGTGAGAGTTAGCCAATAAGAGGCTACAGATAATGGGCCAGGCAGTGTTTAAAAGAATACAGTTTCCGTGTAATTATTTCAGAGTAAGCTAGCTGGGATCCAGGTGGGAATGCAGCCTGCTGAACCTCGCTACTACAGGTAAATCTCTGTGTTTGATGCCAGCCTGAACAACATAGCAAATGCCAGGTCAGCCAAGAAAACATAGTGAAACTCAATACAAAACAAATGTGAAGAGTGACTGATGACACCCAACTCCATACTCCACACAAGTTCACATACATGTGTGAACCCACACTCACATATAAATTTCATTCTCTCACTCACACACACACACACACACACACATGACCTTATAAAAGATTAGAGTAGGAATTAATATTACAGAAAAATAATTTTTTTCTTTTCTTTTTTGGTGGTAGTGGGGTTGAAACAAGGTTTCCCTGTGTAGCCCTGGCTGTCCTAGATTTAGGCTCAAACTCACTGAGATCCACCTGCCTCTGCCTCCCAGGTGCTGAGATTAAAGGCGTGTGCCACCGCTGCCAAGCCAAGCAATAGGTCTAATTATTTAACAAGTCAAATCCCTAAATAGTCTTTGTTTTTGTGCAACTGGAAGAGAATGAGATGAAACACAAATCTATAAAGTAAGGTGCCACAGAACAAAAAGATCACAGACATCCCAGCATTCCCGAAAGTTAGCAGAGGGGGCTGGAGAGATGGCTCAGAGGTTAAGAGCATTGCTTGCTCTTCCGAAGGTCCTGAGTTCAATTCCCAGCAACCACATGGTGGCTCACAACCATCTGTAATGGGGTCTGGTGCCCTCTTCTGGCCTGCAGGCATACACACGGACAGAATATTGTATACATAATAAATAAATAAATAAATATTATAAAAAAAAGAAAGTTAGCAGAGTAGGTAGAGCTGAGGAGATGGGATGAGGAGATAGGAGCAGTTCCCACAGCACTGAAGTGAGCAAACATTTCTGGTTCTTATTTGAATGGAATTATACTCAACATTAAAAAGATGTTTTGTGAACATAATACAATTCCAATAAAAATACCCATAAACTCTTATTTATTTACTTGGATTTTGTTTTGTTTTGTTTTGTTTGAGACAGGGTCCCTCTGTATAGCCCTGACTGTCCCATATGTAGCTTTTATGTAGACCAGGCTATCCTTGAACTCACAAGAGTTCCTCCTTGCCTCACCTCCAGAGTGGTGGGATTAAATGTGTGAACCACCATGCCTAGCTGTTTGCTTGCTTTTATGAAACAAGGTCTACTGTGGCCCAAGTGAGCCCCAAGCTGACTATAATTCACCTGCCTCCACTCACTGAGTGCTGAGGTTACAGATGTCTACCACTACACCTGGCTTCTCTCACCTCGTCCCGAAGGATTGCTGGGTTTACAGAACTCCAACCCCACCTGCCTCCCTGCTGCTCCTCAGATCTATCAAGCATTTGTGCACCTCAGGACCCTTGTACCTGCATCTCTGTGTCCGACTCTCCGTTCACTTCTTCCAGTCTCTGCTTAGCCTTCACCTTCTTGAGAAAGGCCTTCTCCAACCCTCTCTGACCCCTGTATTTGACTGACTTTGTCCTCTCCTCTTCAGAGCTGTTATCAAGAACTGATGCTCTCGGTTGGCATCCCCTCTTCTAGGAAGGAAGCATCCTCAGGACCGTCTATTTGGGTCTGTGCTGTGTACCCTCATTGCTGTCTTGGACACAATAGCACGAACTGCTGAGTGGCTGAATGAATGCCCTTTCCCTACCCAGTACCTCCGCTGAAGTACATATATTGAGCAGGAATTAATGGCCACAGACCAAACACGCTCTCCCTATCCTCACAGCGTGGGAACTTTTACCTTCCTTTGGCCATCAAAAGGTTCAGCCACTTGCCTGGAGTCATCTGACTTGTAAGTGCCCAGGCCTGTACCCATAGCACATCCCAAGTCTCTCAGTCCCTGTCCCCGTTGTATCCCTGGCCCGAGACCTAAGGCTTACCAGCACAGAACATGTTGTCAGTGATGCGGATCCGGGTGGAGGCCTTGCACACTGGCCGCTCTACGATGGGCAGGTTGACTACCTGCAGGACGCTGGGCTGTATCTCGCTGATGCTGGTCGTCCATGTCTCCCGAAGGTTGCCCCAGCCTGTCACCCGCCCTTTATACCCAGCCTGGAGCAAGCTTCAGGGGAAGAGAAAGACCCAATGAGAACTGGCTCTGACGGTATCTAGAAGCCTCCTGATTGCCAACTCTATTTCCCAGAGTCCAACACTTAAAACCTAGCAAAGAAAAGGACTTTTGCATTCAGACCATGAGTCTGCAGCCTGCAAATGTGTGCCAGGCCCCAAAGTCCAGAACCCAGGCAGAACCACAGCAGAGGCCCCGGTGCTGACCTGGCTGCTGTCTGCTTGTCTGGCAGACACACGGGGTGAATATAGTCGCTAAACGGCACGGGCTTCTTGAGCTTGAGCAGAGCGATGTCGCGGTCCAGATTTTCCCGCCAGTTGTATCTGGGGTGGATGTAGATCTTTTCCAGCATGGAGATCTTTTCAATGTTCCGCTCATACCTGTGCAGACCCCCAACAGTGAGAACCCGCCAATGAGAACACTCAGCCCGCGGAGGAAGGTCATAGTCTGCCCTCAGAGTCTGGGAGGCAGGATGACCCCTGAGCCACCACATCTTCCTTAGCAGCCCTCTGGGAGCTTATCTCCTAGTCCAATATCTACATAGGGCTTTTGAGCCACACAGGCCAGCACAAGATGGGCACAAGCCACATGTACTATTCAAAGAGTCACAATTTAAAGTGACTCTTGTCTGAACCAGGTTCTAGTGTCTGGAGTGGCCAAATGGGTTTTCTCACTTTCCTGGTGGAGATATACGGCCACATCTTACCTAACGTGCCCTCAGATCCCAGTCAGACACCATCAGCCACAAATGTCATACCTGGTGCGGGAATGCTTGCCAATGCGCACCAGAAGGTCATTCTCAGTGAAGTTCTTGTCCCACGGTGGGTACAGAAGGCAGTGGGCAGCTGTGAGGACCCATCGGTCGCTGATAAGGCTGGCCCCACACAGCAGTTCTTGGGGACTCTTCCGGAAGAGCATCACCTGCCTACAGGGAAGTAGTGAGCATTAGGAGCTGGGGCCTGGGCCTTTAGGCAGCCTTGGAGGTGGAAAAAGAGCCTAGATTAAGACGTGCTGGGCTAGGGTGGCGGCACAGGCCTGGAATCCTAGCACTTGGGAGGTGGAAATAAGACAGATCAGAAATTCAAGGTCAGCCTCGGCTACATGAGACCCTACCCCCCACCTCACTCCACCCCCCCAAAAAAAAGAAAAGAAAAAAGAAAAACTGTGAGATAGTGAGACAAAGCTGCCTCCAGGTCATCTGTGGAGCCAGAGCTCCTGAGCACCAGGTCCTTGCTGTGGGTGGGGCAGCCTTCCACTGGCTGGCAGCTCAGTCCAGGACGCACCAGGGGGCGATACCCATCTCAGCGTCCCAGCCCTCCACGATGCGCCCATCTATGTAAGAGTCAAGAAGTTCCTTTTCCGTTTTGTCTTTCTTCGACTTCTTTTCGAACAGAGGCCGAAGGCCACAGTCTGCAGAGCAAGGCCAATGGTGAGGGGTCCACCCTGTTATCCAGCCCTGTGTCCCGCGGACACGTGCCTGCCTTACCTGCCTCTCCCATGCCGAAGGTCTTCTCATCAAAGAAGGTGTGGAACTCCCCATCAGTGGTGCGCCCCGCGATGGACTCCTCCGCGTCCTGGATCTCCTCTCCCACCGCCTCCTCTGTAAAGCATTGGGGCCTTAGACCTTCCCAAGCCCCACCCCCCCCAGAAGACCTTGGAGGGCATTTGACTCCGAGATTAGGTACTCCACGCCTAGGTACTCCAGGCAACCAGGCAACGGCCTCTCAGGACCTCCATCTACTCATCTATGAAATGAGAACAGGACCTACCCCTCGCCAGGTTTCTGCAAGGCTCTAACGAACCCAGTTGTCCTCTGCCCCTGAGCTCTCTCACCACAGTAGTTGAGGCTGCAGTATTCAAAGTCGCCAGGCTGCCCGGCAACGTAGCACCACACGCCCTCCTCATCCCCATCAGGGTTGCGGCAGAAGTTTTCCACGAGTTTCACCTCCGGGTCGAAGTCCTGGTACTTGCTCAGGGCCTTGGCTGGTGAGCTGGCCCAGGCCAGGCAGGGGGACCCAAGTGTTGTCACAGCCAAATTCCCCTGGTACAGCCGGCCACGCTCAGTGATGCATTGCTCCAGTGGGGGTGACAGGTTCCCTTTGGACCCTCCAGAGCGAGGAACCATCTCCACAGTTGTCCGGCCCTCCTGGCCTGGTGCAGAAGAACACAGAAGCCAAAATTGGGGGGATCACTCGCAGACCCGAGGAAGATTTGAACCCCTATCCTGGTGGATTCTACCTGTGTGACTTGAGACAGCTTAAACACCCCCAGTCTCAGCAATGTCCCTTCAATAGGCCACATATGCCTAACTTCCCCAACATTTGAGAGGAGATTATTAAAATACACAGGACAAGCCAGGCGTGGTGCACAAGCCTTTACTCCTGACATTCCCAGGATGCTTTCTGTAGACCAGGCTGGTCTTGAACTCAGAGCTCTGCCTGCCTCTGCCTCCCAAGTGCTGGGATTATAGGTGTGTGTCACCATTCCAGGTTAAGGTTTTGTGTTGTTGGGTCTACTAAGGATGACTGTGTGGACTGGTCAATGTCAGCGGGGGTAGCGGTGTAGTCTAGGCAGGTGTTTTAAGATCATTTGAAATCATTGGTGATTTGTTTTAAGACCTGCCTTGGATGGGACACCGCTGACAAAGAATAGGGAACTGAGCTGCAGCTAGGGAAGGGATGTTCTCTACCATTGAGTTGTAGACCCTAATCCTGTTTTTTTCTTTATTTTGAGACAGGGTCTCACAAAGTTTCTAGGTTGGCCTTGAACTTTTGAAACAAAGGTTTATCTTTTTCATCTTTATTCATGTCTTGGTGTGTGTGTGTGTGTGTGTGTGTGTGTGTGTGTGTGTGTGTGGGCCAAAAGAGAGTGTTGGATCCCTTGGAGCTGGAGTTACATGTAGTTGTCCCCCAACATGGATGCTGGGAACTGATTTGTGGTCTTCAGCAAGAGAAACAAATCTCTTAACTGCTGAGCCATGTGTCCAGCCCAAGGCTTGAACTTTTGATCCTTCTGTCCCCCTGCCTCTCCAGTGGTTAGGATCATAGATCTGCACCGCCGAGCCAGTCTTTTTTTTTTTTTTTCTGGTAAGGGTTTTGAACCTAGGACCTTGTGCATCCTAGCCAAACTCTGTACAACTAAACCACATCACCAGCCCATGTTATGAATTCACCACTCTGCTTATATTCATATGGGACATTTGATACGAATGGAAGGCAGTCAGGACAAGCTGCCAGCTCTGAAGCCGGCAAACTGCACTTCTGTTCATTGTTCTGCACTTTCCCATCACCATGGGTGGGAGGGACTTCCTCAAGGAGCTACCAACCCCTGTGTGAGTACAGTGGAGCGAGGAGTCGGGTTCAGCTGAGGCCACCATTCACTAGGCAGTCACTCGAGCCGGCCCAGGGCACGGGTGTAACACCATCTCCCCCACCCAGACACACAGCCAGGTGAGTGAACCTCAGAGCACCTAGCCACGCCCCAATGGTATAAGACATAAACACTTGCGGTGGCATGCCCCTCAGGCAAGGGTGTCTGCACTATTGTGGCTCGAGTAGGTACCCACGAGAAGGGGTCACAGCAGTCACCCAGGGCAGAGCCTTATGTGCTCACTCTGCGATGTTCGCAAAAGACGTGTGGCCGAAGTGATCAGGGAAGGCTTCCTGGGGAAGAGTACCTTGGCAGGGCACAAAAAGTTGTTTGAAATGAGCTACAGCCTGGAGCATAAGGGAACCAAGACTGGGAGGGAGAAAAGGAGGTGACAGGCAGCCTGCCCAGGTCTCCCAAATGCCCTGGCCGAGAGGCCCATTCACTTTGACTCCTCCCCCTTGCTCTGAAGATGATCAGCATTGTGAAGCTCATTCAAGATTGCCAGGCCTTTTGAAGAACTCTAAGCCTTGGCCTGGCCTGCTTCCGGCCCAGCTCACCGCAGACAGGAACACTACATTCTTCTCTCCGCACAGTGGGGTCTGTGGTGTAGCACCAGGGTCCCTGGGTGCTGCTATCCGGATTGCGGCAGAAATTCTCCTGCAGGTTGGCCCCAGGATGCGTGGTGAAGTTGATGCTGGAAGAGAAGGGCACTCAGGGACCTTCTGTGTCCTGCTTCCCCTCCTGGCCTGTGAGGAGACAGGCCTGCCCAGCACTCACTCAGGCTTGTGTGGGTAGCGGCTCCGCCATAACTGGCACTCAATCCCGGAGTGGGTGACACTCACAGTCCCAATGTAGTTTGTCCCCAGATCCATAGCACAGCGACCTACAGAAACACACACCTGAGACTGCAGTAGCGTACTGAGGACTCTCCAGTCCTTCTGTGAATATTTTGTCTACCTCCCTGTTCCACGCTGGTAACCCACGTGCCTTTGCTCCTCTGCAGTAGGCCTGTCCACTCCACAACAGCCATGGGACAATCACGACAGGCACAGCTCTAATCTGGGCCCAGTCTCCCTGCCCTGTTGTCCTAGGCTTTGCACACAGGGTCCACACTTAGAATTCTCAGATTTGCTCACCAATTCATCCCCACAAAGCCAGGCGCGGCTCTTCTGGTGTGCCACCTCTGACTCTGTTGGCACTGACTATCTCTCTGCTCTCTCCGGCTTTATCAAGAGTCCCTCAATATTTGTTATTTCTGTTCTGAGATTGTAAGTAAAACCCAGAACTAATGTGTGCTCTCAGAGTCCCCAGCACCCATATGGTGGCAGCTCCCTATAATCCTAGTACTCAGCCGGCTCGTCTACATCTAGATGCTATCTACAAGAAGAAATCCCCAGCGCCCAATCCCAGCACAGGGCCTGACACACACCGAAGGTTTAGTACAATATTTTTTTTGAGTAAGCAATGAAAATATGAGGCCTGGAGAGGTGGCTCAGTGGTTAAGAGCACTGGCTGCTCTTCCAGAGGACCTGGGTTCAATTCCCAGCACCCACATGGCAGTATACAAGGTCACTAAGTCCAGTTCCAGGGGACCTAATGCCCTCTTCTGACCTCTGCAGGTCACATAAATGGTACACAGATGTACATGCGGGCAAACACCCATACACATTAAAATAAAAAGATGAGCCCTGCCGTGGTGGCGCAGCCTTCAATCCCAGCACTCTGGAGGCAGAGGCAGGTGGATCTCTGTGAGTTTCAGGCCTGCATGGTCTATGTAGCAAGTTCCAAGACAAACAAGGCTACAGGGGGTGGCGGATCAGGCATTCAAAACTAGCCTAGGCCACATGAGACCCTGACTCAAGGAAGGAAGGAAGAAAAGAAGGAAGGAAGGAAACTATGATGCTTAAGGAGTTCCTTGGCTGGGGCTGGAGAGATGACTCAGAGGTTAAGAGCACTCACTGCTCTTCCAGAGGTTCTGAGTTCAATTCCCAGCAACCAAATGATGCCTCACAACCATCTGTAATGAGATCTGGTGCCCTCTTCTGGCATGCAGGCATACATGGAGGCAGAATGTTGTATACATAATAAATGAATAAATCTTTAAAAAAAAGAAAGAGTTCCCCAGCGATAGTGGAGCCCATTGTTAGACTGAACACGGTCTCTGAAGGCTCTAAGAAGTCCCTGAAGGGCAGGGTTCCCAGTGGGCAGTGTTGGTTGCTCCAGGGACATCGTGACACATTTACTGACTCTGTCGCTAACAGAGCAGGAGGAGGGTACCTGGCCAGTTCTCTAACTAAACAAGGGCTTGGAAGAATAGAAGAGAAATCAAAGCTTTTCTGCCTAAGAGCCTGTGGGCAACGGGGAATCATTAGAATGTCTGAAGAGGGCACACGCCTGTAACCCAGGGCTGGAGGGTTTAAGGTCATCTTCAGCACCTAGTTCAAAGCCACCCTGGGCTATGGAAGTCCCTGTGGGACTTGCCTTTAATGCAATTCGAAGGCAGAGGCAGGTGGATCTCTGTGAGTTCAAGGCTAGCCTGATCCACAAGAGCTAGTTCCAGGACAGCTAGGGCTGTTACACAGAAAGACCCTGTCTCAAAAAACCACAAAAAGAAAGAAAGAAAGAAAGAAAGAAGGAAGGAAAGAAAAGAAAAGAAAAGAAAAAGTTTTGAAGGATGAATTAGCAAGACAGAGCTCTGACACAGGGTGGTCAGGCCTTAAGAGCAAGACCCCCGAGACTAATTCATTCCTTCAGCAGCCTGGCTGAGTGCCAGACACATCCTTGACCACAGAACAAAGAGGCACTGGCGGGCACTGGAGGAGCCGCTTCAACCCTGGCTCCTAACCAGTCATGAATTTTTCTTTTCTCTCAGGCTTCCCCACCATCCACTCACCCTAAGTCTGCCCCTCACCTTCCAGACAGTCCATGAAAGTCTCTCGAGTTTTCCTCACTGAATCACAAACTGGGAAAAAAGCAGAAACACTTGCTGTTGCCGTGGGGACAAGTGTGAGGTGACTAGAAGCCGGGGTATCAGATGAGGAAGGCAGGGGAGAGAATGGGGTGTGGGGGTGTTATGCAGCAGAAAATCCTGCAGGAGAGGTCTCTAGCTAGAGGCCCCAGCCTCCCTTCCAGGGGCAAACCCTATTGGTCACTCACCACTGTACTTGGCCCAGAATACATCCTGCAAAGCAAGGGCTGGGGTGAGACTCCAGCAGGAGGGATCTCTGCAAAACTCCTGTTCTTAGGCATTAACTATGTCCTTTCCTCACCGCTGCAGCCAGCTTTAGTCCCCCATTTTGACTTTCAAAAGTAGAGAATATGAAGAGAGAGTCCCCCAGCACACATGACTGAACGGGGTCTCCTCCAAGCTGGAGAAGATAGGAGAAGTGGACACACCTCAAGGGAACACAGACATGGCAGAGAGGCTTAAGGAAACACCAAGGCAACCCAGACAGTCCCAGTAAAGCCCACAGCTGAAGCGCTCTCCTGATGTCATGAGCCCCAGGCCTACAGTTGCCAAGACAGATTTTGGGTACCCATCTTGCAGCCCAGTGAGATGGGGGTCAGAACGGGCGCGGGGTGGGGGTGGGGGCAGATGTCTCCTGTGGTCCCAGCAATCCGCTGCTGAGGGAGTCCAGGCCTTTGCCTCGTCCACCTGCCCTTCCTCCCAGCGGCCAGTGTGGGGCTCACCGTGGCACTGAGAGACTCCAGGGCCTCGAAGGCCTCCTCATAACTGCACTGCTCCTCCACACACTCCCGCTCCAAGTTGCCTTTCCTTAGCTCCTCCAGGTAGCCACTGTTGGCTCTCCGGACACGCTGGAGCAGCGACAGTGCTTGCTGAGGGCCCAGGAACACTGCGGGGGGGCGGGGGGGAGAGGGAGCATGGGAAATCGCCTCTGGAAAGTCTGGCTATCTTAGCCATTAAGGGGTAGTAAGCAAGCCTGGTCTACCCCAGCTGGCTTCTAAGAAGGAACAGAGAATGCAGAAGTACCCAGAAGACCACTGAACATAATCTGTGAGTTGCCCGCCTTTCATTGGTTGCCCCATCCCACTCGCCAATCTGGAAGAGAGAAGAGGGACCCCTTCCGGCTCCACACACCCGACTCCTCAAAGCCGGACATTCTGGTCTGAGGTCCACCTGGGGACTGTCCCTGTGTTCTCTGGTCTTAGCCAGGAAATTCCAACTCACAGGCCTATCCCACATCCTCCATCATGCCCAGGCCTCCGAGGGTCCCTTACCATGCTGACTGTGTACCAGGCTAACCAGGGCAGCCAGAGCCAGGTAGCCAGGTAGCTGCAGGCCTCGGACGTACAACATAGTGTGTCAGCTTCTGGGATCTGAGGGATTGTCCTAACTCTGTGGGTTAATGTTGAACCAATGTGAAGAAATCAGTGGCAAGGGAGAGGTCAGGGGGTCAGGGCCTTGGGGACAAATGGGTAAGAGATAGTCCTAGGGTCCGCCCCCGCCGCCCAAGAGGACAGGTTCTCCCGGAACCGGGATGGATGTTCTTAGGGAGAAAATCGTATCGTCCAATCGTTCCTACCATTTATTACATTGGTGAATGTGGATGGAGGAGTCCTTCCACAGACTTTTCTAATCTCGGCCAGCGGGGTCGGTGCCAGCACTCTCTGTTCCCATTCAACACGGTTCCTCATCTGCACACTGGGCATCACCCTGTGCTGTGGAAACTGTGGACTGTCAGTGGGAGTCGACTGACGAGCAGAAGTGTGCAGACGTGTGAGTTCTGGCGCACCAGGGGAAACGTGAGACAGGGTGGCTCTCAGTCACGGGGTGACTCCTCTTTCTTCTCCTCTAAGGGTACTGTAGCTGTGAATGGAGGCTGCCGGGAGGAGTCAAGTCCAGGGCCTGGTAGCCTCTAGCTGTCTTCTCCCAGCTCCTGCCTCAGAACAGACTCTGGGTCTCCCCGACACAGCCCCTCCCCTCCCAACCTGTCTGTACTGGGTTTCTACACAACAGCTCTGGGCCTGCTTCTCTCCCTCCCCCATTTCCTGTTTACAAGGTAAATATTAGTCCTGGGCCTAAATAGAACAGAAGGACAAAGAGCAAAAGCACGTACACCCGGGAATTGCGGGACCCTTGCTTTGCCTTGGCTTCATCAGGGCTAGCAGTTTGGGGTCACGTACAGTCTGGAGAGAAACACCATTGGCAGAGACCTGGGGCCTCAGGCTCCCAGGGTCCCTTAATTCTTGCGTGCCTTGCTTCCTAGGTGTTCTCATACCTGTACATAACACACACAGAGATGTCATATACGTTATACCTTTCCTTTTTAAAATGTATTATTTTTAACTATGAGTATGTTTGTGGGTATATACCAGAGGCCAAACCCACTGGAGCAGGAGGTACAGGCAGTTATGAGCCACCAATGTGTGTCCTGGGAGTCAAACTTGGCTCTTCTGAAAGAGCAGTAAGTGCTCTTAACTCCTATGTAGCCCTGGCCATCTTGGAACTAGTTCTGTAGACCAGGCTGGCCTCAAAGGCAGAGATCTGCCTACCTCTGCCTCTGAGTACTGGAATTAAAGGTGCACGCCACCACTGCACCTAGCTAAAAAAATAACTTCAATAACCTGTGCAACTGGGTGTGGCACATGCCTTTATTCCCTGCCCTGGGGAGGTGGGGGGGCAGGTGGACCTCTGAGTTCAAGGTCAACCTGGTCTGTATCAAAAGCTCTAGGATAATCAGGACCAGGACAGCGTAGAGAGACCCTGTCTCAAATAAACAAAACAAAACAAAACAAACATATGCCTCTTTTTTAAAAAGTTAAATGACATATGTTTATTTGTATGTGTGCACACTCCACTGTATGCATGTGGAGATCAGCTAGCTCTGCCCTGTGAGTCTCCAGGACTGAACTCAGGAAGTCAGCTTTGATAGGTGCCTTTGCCCACTGAGTCAGACTGATGGCCCTTTCCCCGCCAACAAATGCACACTAGTTCTATAGCATATATGCTTTCTAAAAATATGGCTTGCAAAATGTTGACAAGTTAGCCTGGTGGTGAAGGCAGAGGCAGGAGGATCTCAATGAGTTTGAGGCCACCCTGGTCTACACAGCTAGTTCCAGGACAGTCAGGACTGTTTCACAGAGAAATCCTGTCTCAAAAATTAAAACAGAACAAAAAGTTTACAACATAATCTTTTAATTCCACATTTCCTGTACACCAAGATACCAAAGGCTCCTTCCTGTCAGCTGACAGCCTCCCCCTTTAGTGAACACCATCCTGACACAGACCAGCTTTGTCTATGTTTGAACCCCACAGGGGTGTAATGTTACAGCATCTCCTTTGTGTCCGTTGCCTCCAGTTCACCCAGCTGTCGTGGATCCATCCAGCCATTTGATTTCTCTGCCCTTCTGGAGGTACCGTGGTGGGTTTTGTTTGTTTGTTTTGTTTTGAGACAAAGTCTTGCTGTATAGATGGAGCCTACCTTGAAGTCAAGATAAACACACCTAGCTTCATTTTTATAATTTACATATTAATGAGCATTTGAATGAACTTATAGTTTGGGGACACTATGGGCAGTTTGTTTTGTTTTGTTTTTTATAATTGTATTGATTCGATTGTGCATGTGTGTGTGTGAAGTGTGTGAAAACATACGGCACATGCCATAGTGTGCATGTGAAAGTCAGAGGACAACTTGTGAAACCCAACTCTTCCTGCTGTGGGTTCCACCAAACTCAGGTCTGCGAACCTGCATGGCAAGTGGTTTCAACCTCCTCCATCTCACTGGCCCTAAGAATAGTCTCAAAAACATGGTTTGGTTTCATTTAGACAGGGTTTCTCTGTGTAACTGCCCTGGCTGTCCTAGAACTCACTCGGTAGAGCAGGCTGGCCTCGAACACACAGAGATCAGCGTGCCTCTGCCTCCAGAGTGCTGGGATTAAAGGTGAGAACCACCACTGCCCAGAGAATGCACGTTTTTGTATAACTCACTTCTGTTAGGTAAATGCCCAGGGGATGAGACTTTCTGGCATAATGTTTATTTAAGTAACTGCAACGCACACCTGTTCCGAATGGTTTACACTAACAAACACTCGTTTGCACACTAACCAAGGAGGTTTCAGGCTTCTGTTTTTATCCATAGCAACTTTTTCATTTTCCAGGAAGCATTGTAATGAATGGGTGTGTGTCATCACAGCGTTAATTTATACTCCCTGTTAGCTGAAGACACGGCACCTGTTCTTTCTCCCTTCTTTCTCCCACCCTTTTTGGGAATGTTGTCTAGTGATTAGGTAAAAAGATGTCACTGTATAAGCTGGGTTTGGAGTGGAAATCTGGACCAGGAGGCAGAGGTAAAAGTTTTTCAGCCTCAGTTGCGAAGTGAGACCCTACTGAAATATGAAGTAAAGAGAAAAACGGGGGGGGGGGCGGCAGGGAGATAGCTCAACAGGCAAAGGCACAAGCCACCTGCTCACTTTCTGTTCAGCTCTCAGCTCCAGGTCATTCTACTCCATCACTGAGGTGCAGCCACACATCAAGAGCCTGAGAGAGCTGGTCACTTTGTATCCATGGTCTGGAACAATGCTTAACACACAATGTGTTATATAGGGGTCCCGTCTACAGAATGATGCCACCCACAGTAGGCAGGTCTTCCAGTCTCTACACAACCAAGATAGCTCCACACACGACATGCCCACAAGCCAACCTTCTCTACCCAGGTGACTATGGCGTGTGTTGAGTTGATAACTCAATCTAACCATCAATACAGCACAAGCCTGGCAACCTTTGATCCCCAGAACCCATGGAAAGGTGCAGTGAGGGAACAGACTCCACAAAGCTGTCCTCTGAGTTCCACACGTGCCCTGGCACACACACACATTGACACACATCATGCACACACATACACACAGTAATACGTCACTTCATTTAAAAAGTTTAAGATATATGGGTTGGGTTCTGCAGTTAAGAGTGCTTTTTCTTCTTGCAGAGGGCCTTGGTTTAGTTCCCAGCACCCCATCACAACCACCTGTTCCAGGGGCTCTGACACTCTCCTGGCCTCTATGGGCACTAGATCCACACCAAGCACACATTACATATTTGCAGGTAAAGCATTCACACACATAAAATAAAAAATCTAAACAAGGGGCTGGAGAGATGGCTCAGCAGTTAAGAGCACTGACTGCTCTTCCATGTGGCGAGCCCACAAGTCTTCTACAGTAAACCCACAGCTGACAGATCTATCGAACCCCCTTCTTCTAAGTACATCTGTACACTCCACCTGGAGAACCATTTTGCAGAGCTGCAGGGGACATCTGTCCTTTGGTTAAGTCACTGTCAATTCTGTAAAAATCTTGTGAAACCATGGCACTTCTCCCTTCTATAGTCTCCCAGCAGTGCATAAACCTGACTTCTCCTGTGGGACAACAAGATCCCTCCCGCCACAACATAAAGCCATGGTGTGAAAGGATTCAGTCAAGTTCTTGTTTCCATAGTCAAAATCTTCATGAAAACAAACTGTCCCCCACAAACTTTCTTTTTTTTTTAAATTTTTAAAAATATTTATTTATTTTATCATGTATACAATATTCTGTCTGCATGTATGCCTGTAGTCCAGAAGAGGGCACCAGACCTCATTACAGATGGTTGTGAGCCACCATGTGGTTGCTGGGAATTGAACTCAGGACCTTTGGAAGAGCAGGCAATGCTCTTAACCGCTGAGCCATCTCTCCAGCCCCCACAAATTTTCTTTATTGACAGCACTCATTGATAAGAAAGGAGCCCCCAAACAGGAGGTGGTATGCCTCCTCTATCCACAGACTCAGGAAGGTGGAATCTGGTCTTCTGCTCTGACTTAACAGGCTACTAATATTCTGTATAAACCTTCACCTTGGTTTCAACTAACATAAGATCATAACCAAGGAAATTATCTGTTTATACAGGGAAAAGGCCCGAGTCACTAAAACTAGCTTCAGGGAGAAAAATTTTCACCTGGGCATGTTGCAGGAGTCAAAATCAGGGTCCCCAGAAGAGATTACTTTTAACTCAACCAGCTCGATGCTAATGCAAACCAATCCCACAGGTCAATATAGCTACCGGGGTTGTGTTCCCAACTGCAGGGTACCTTCATAGCCACGCTCCCTCTGAGGCGTAAGGCGCCTCCTTCCCAGATCCACCAGTTTCTTGTGACTTTGCGAAAATGCATGCTTAATACCATTGTTACCGCCTTGGGGATTGTTAACTTCTCTGTATGCCTATATAAGCTGAAGTCTTCGTGGAGATGAGCATTACCTTTTTTTTAACTCTTATCCTTTTTACCCTGGTGCCTTACCCTCAAGTCTGATGCTTTGCCCGTATACCTTGTCCCTTATGCCCCTAGGCTTCTTCTTCTCCCGTCTCTCATTTTCTCCCAAGAAATAAA